AGCAGGTTTTTGGCATTTGGGGCCTTTGCTTTCCTAAATAAAAACTGCATTAGTGCATTTTAATTTGCTTTTCTCCCCCACTTTTTTTCTTCCCTATTTTTTTCTTTTTTCTATTAAGATTCCTTCCAAGGAATGTTCATGGCATCACTGTTTGTAATAGTGAAAACTAGAAACAGACCAAGTGTTCATTAGTGAACGATTAGTGACTAAGTCATGGCATGAGGTAGACTTCTCTCAAAGAACCCCAGGGCCCCTTGGAACAATTCCGGGGATCAGAGAAAAACACAAGATTAACCTGGAATATCTTGTGGTACCAGAAAGTAAGGAAATGCTCAGAAAACAATGGGGGCATGTCAAAGCACACAGTAACCACCTTGAAGGAGCCCCCCCACAGCCAAATCTGGGAGGCTGTATGCATCTGATCAGGCCTAAATCTAATAGCAAACGTTAGCAAATTATGTACTTAAAAACTTTTTTATTGAAGTTAATTACTTATTTTTATGAATGGCTATTGCCCTTTTTATAGACTACTGGGAATTGCCTAATAATTTACAACTAAAATAAGATATGCTATTACCTTATATGCCTTGTGACCATATTTTCTACGACAAAATGTGTGCATCCGTTGGGGTGGTTTAACAAAATACTTGAAAATTAGAATGGTTTAGAAGTCTAGGATATATGGTTGATACACACACACATATATACGTGTGTATACTTTGTACGTGTATACACACACACACACACACACACACTCACATAACCCAGCAACGCATGCTTCTGTTGAGTCTAAACTGGCAGTTCCACATTTGGTCACTAGGTGGCACTTGGCCAGCGTAAGGCTAACGTAAAAGGAAACTGATGAACACCAGGATAAAAGGCCAAAGAGGAACTTGCTCAGTATTCACAGGGAACCCTGATTGGTAGTCCCCTGGGGCTCATTGAAAGGGTTCATTTGGCTGAGACTGTACCATACTCCTATCCTGGACATGAGGTGTTTGGGATTTAAATTATTCTGAGATTTGGTCTTATTTCAGTGCAGAAGCAGCAGGCCAGTGAGTGCAGTGGCCCAACAAAAGCTGTCACAGCTCTGTGCCCCTTACAAGCAGGACCAGGAAAGGTGTGCCGGGTCCCTCATTGAATCCCAGGCCTAGCACGGAGTACTCAGGATGAAGCGAGAGTGTTGAATGGATGGGTACCCATCTTTGTGCTTTGAAAATGGTTTAGAGGAACCCACTGTGCTCTAGAAACATCTCTCAGTGCCATGCGTCTGAGCACCTCGGGCAGGAGAGGAGCAGTGACTGCCTCTGCTGTGGCCGCCATACCCTGAATGTACATTTGTGTCTCCTGCAGGTGCTGTTAGATCTTACAAACAAAAGGAGTTTGTCTTGCTGTGCTCCAAGAAAGCTTTTCTCTGAGAAGACCTTAGATACTCCTGTTAGAATTTAAAAGGAGTGTGGCATTAGGTATGCTTTTGTATGTACTGCTGGCTAAGTAAGCGTAAGGATGTGATCCAGGGTTTCGACTCTAACCTGCAGAACCTGAACAGGATGCGGTACCTTCTGCAGTGAGTGTTTAACTGTCAGGCTCGCTACACTCTGCTCAGGTTCCTAGAATACTCCCGGGATCAGAACAACCCATAGGCTTGCCCTGCACTAGCTGAGGCAGCTACAAGAGAAAGAACCAGAACTCTTGGTTCTGGGTTCAAATCCTGATTCTGCTATTAGGCCTGGATCTTCAGTAATCAGACAATCTTTTGAATCTCAGTTTCTTTATCTGCAAAGTGAGGATGTTAAGACTGACTTTCTTCCCATCAACCAGCATATCCCATCAACCAGCATAATTTTTGAGTTCCTCCGGGACTTTACAATCTGGTGTGCATGGCAAACACGTGTCCCAGTGTTGAGCCTATTGAACAAAAATGTATTTAAACTGGGGACGGATGGTGGCGACGGAAGCACGGCATGTGAATGTACTGGAGGCCACCGAACCGTGTGCTTAGAAAGGTGAAGGTGAAAATTTTCATGTTATGTGTATTTTACCACAATTAAGTAAAGTCAAATGAAGAACGAAATATCCAAAGAACCCAGCATGATCCTGGCACATAGTAGACTCAGGATCCACTCGGTGACCATCCATTGAGTTCGGGAGTGAGTGGTGACAAGGAAGACCACTAGATACAAGTACCCTGGCACAATCAGCCCAGTCAGTGGGAAGAAGTGGCCTTTTCTGTCTTGGACAAAGCATGCCACCAGGCCCACCGATGGAGGAAGACTGTCGAGCCTCTGCAGGGCATATCCTCCTGACTTCTCGCCTCAAGCTCCAGATGGGCGTATGGAATGCCTTCCTGTTCCTCAGGCATCATCCTGGAGTACATCAACTGAACAGCCTCACGAGGGACGCCTAAGTGCAGTTTCTGGGATTCTGCTTCACTTTTCATAACGAAGACAGGGTTTAGGTAAAGACTAGTGGACAAAGAATTAAGTTTGGTCTGGTCAGGGACTGACGGACAAAACCTCTGAGGTCAGTACCTTTATGACCGAGAATTGAGGCTCAGGGATTATTCGAGGTGGAGGACGAAGAGCACTAGTTTTTCTTTTTCACTTTCCTTGTGTTTTTCTTTTTTGGGGGGTATAGAGGGTAAAAGGTGAAGAAAGAAGGAAGAATCGCCTTTTTTTTTTCTTTTTTTTAAACTCAGGAGTTATGGATAACTCCCAAGTACCTGTGCAAATGAATATGATTAACTTTGCTACTCCAGAAAAAAATTTTAATCCCAAAGTCATTTATTTTGGCTTTAGAATAGACTAGCACTTGTGTCGGATTTTCTCGCCTAATTACTTTTTGCTTAAGCTTGTTTTAAAATTGTTTTAAATTCCTTTAGTGTGACAGCCTAGGGAAGTTGGGGGGGGGGAGGGGAACAGGCCACAGAGAGGATCTGAACCAGAATTGAAGCTTTCCTATAGAAAAGCCCCCTCGTACGCTGCCAGTGGGAGAGCAAAATTGGAATCAGCTTTCTGGAAAACAATTTGGCAAAATATTTTTTAAAGTCTTCAAAATATGCTTACTCTTTGATCCAGTAATTCCACTTCTAGGAATTTGTCCTAAAGAAGTAATCAAACAAGCATGCAGCAATGTAGGGACAAGGCACTCACCACAACATTTGTATCGGCAAAAACAAAAAATAAAAGAAGAAGAAGAAAAAGTAAAGCCAATGGAAAGCACTGAATAATATGGAATTGGTCAAAGAAAGTACGGTGCTGTCTCTGATGTGTGTAGCCACATTGGCAGATTGATTATAGACTTTAAAAGTCTATAGGGTTAGGGTTAGGGTTAGGGTTAGGGTTACCGCATCTTTCTAAATGAAAAACGGAAAAAATTAGTGGGCACGGCTGCATAGATATCTCTGCACAGAAACAGTGCAGAGATACAGAGATGGGTGGCTAAGTAGACAGAGAGCTGGACCGATGGATGAGTGAGGGGATAGATGCCTGTCTGGAGACACATATTCTGCAGTGTTAACTTTGGTGTTGCTGAGTGCTGAAATTATGGCTGGTTTTGTAGTTTTTGCGTGTTTTTCAGATTTTCTGCTTGAACACGTATTGCTTTATAATTAGAAAAGCCAACCACCCTGTATTTTGAAAGAATACATGTTTAATGTATCCATGAAAAAGTAAAATGTTGCTATCTAACACCCACAAGGTGGGTAATCTGAAGGCGCATGATTGTAGACTGAATGTGTTTTCTTTTTTTTTTTTTTTTTAATTTTTTTTTTCAACGTTTATTTATTTTTGGGACAGAGAGAGACAGAGCATGAACGGGGGAGGGGCAGAGAGAGAGGGAGACACAGAATCGGAAGCAGGCTCCAGGCTCTGAGCCATCAGCCCAGAGCCTGACGCGGGGCTCAAACTCACCGACCGCGAGATCGTGACCTGGCTGAAGTCGGATGCTTAACCGACTGCGCCACCCAGGCGCCCCTGAATGTGTTTTCTTAAGGGGCCCATTTCATACAAGTGAATTATCAGCAGTCATACTGAATACATAAAATCACACGTACCGCGGGTTAAATTATGTTTCCCAAGAAAAAGAGCACATTCAGCAAAAATCTGTGAAGGCACGATTAGAGTATAATGTGGGTATCCTATTTTCTGATCCCAGCACTAGGAGGTAGACTCTTAGAGCCTAGGAGTACCACAGTTTGGCCAAGCTACAGAGACTGGTAGGTTTTCTGTGAATTATATGTAAAAAACGTAGATTGTCCAGGTAACACTAGAACAGTCATTCTTAACTGTCTGAAAGCAAGTCTCGCGTAACGTTTCTACTGTTTTCCCTTTCTTATCACATTATCATCATACAGAACTCCAAATCCAGCCCTCTAAATGGGGCAAGAGTGAAAGCATAAGGTAAATGACGGGCAAGCACAGACCTCTTAGGACCCCAAAATAGCTCTTGGCTCACATTTTAAAGGAGTCTGCTTTATATAACCAGCTGCAGGGAAAATTTGTTCTTCACTGTTTGCAGCCTCAGCTCTGTACACAGGATGGGCTTCTCTTTTATTTACGGTCCCTAAATCCCGAAGACACCATGTGGCTTCACTGAAGGAAAAACCTCGCAGGTCTGGCTCCCTGTCGTCTCAGGTCAGATGGAAAAGCCTTTTGTGATTAACTCGGCCACAGTATGTCCTTTGGCATTTGGAACTTCAGTGAGAGTTTTTATTAGTTACTCACATTTTGAATCCTGACTCAAATGAACTGCATCTAATGGAAAAAGCAGAGAAATCTCGCCCTTTTGACGCCAAATCGAATCCCCGTTCTACCACTAGCTGTGACCTTGGGCAAGTTCGCTTAACATGTCAGGTCTGGGTGTCCTCACTTAGTTAGGAGAGTGGCGCCTTCCCATCTCACCTCCCAAAGCTGTTGTTTGACAGCCTTGAAGCTGTGTACCAGCCGGGGACAGTGACTGGTCTCTATAAACATGCTGCCTTCTCACTTTGCTTCCGACAGTTTCCTTATGCTGCCCCACCTCCCCAAGAACCTGTGAAGACTCTGAGAAGCCTGATCAACATCCGAAAGGACACACTAAGACTTGTAAAGTAAGTTCCCCTGGGGCTGGGGCTCAGGCCCGGTTCTAGGTGCGGAGCAGCTCCCCTCCCCCACCCCTCAAGAGACTAGCAGAGCAGTTTGTGGCCAGACCCAGAGTCTCATTCCCCTGGCCTCAAGGATGTGAACTGCCCTGGCGGTGATCGAGCAGCCCCTGTCCACGTAGATTAGGTCTTCCCGCATCCAGATTGTCCAGAACTTTATGTGAGAGTCTGTGTTTATGAAAGACTTTCCCTTTTCCCAGAAGCAGTCTTTATTCTTGTTTTATGATAAAAAAAAAAAATATATATATATATATATATATTGGAGCGCCTGGGTGGCTCAGTCGGTTAAGTGTCGGAGCCTCTTATCTCGGCTCAGATCATGATCTCGTGGTTCATGAGTTTGAGCTCCTGACAGCAAAGAGCCTGTCTGGAATTCTCTCTCCCTCTCTCTCTTCCTCTACCCCACTCGTGCTCACTGTCTCTTAGTTTTTTTTTTTTTTTTTAATGCTTATTTATTTTTGAGAGAGAGGAAGAGACAGAGCACAAGCGGGGTAGGGGCAGAGAGAGAGGGAAACCCAGAATCTGAAGCAGGCTCCAGGCTCTGAACTGCGAGCACAGAAGCCGACGTGGGGCTCGAACCCATGAACCGTGAGATCATGACCTGAGCCGGTCGGACACTTAACCGACTGAGCCACCCAGGCGCCCCTATCTCTCTCAAAATAAATAAATAAATAAAATTATTGAGGGGAAAAAGTGAATCTTGCAGGTACCTCAGCAAGCTTGTGGAAAAATGGGATATTTGCAGTTGGAATATAAAAGCATTATTTTATTGCTTATATTTACTTTTCAATTTATTCTTCATCTCATGTGTCCTTCCTCAGAGGAACTCCTTGTGTCCTTGTCTGGTTGGTTAATCATCATCATCATTATTAAGTATCTTCAACATTTACCTTCTCTGTACAGTCCGTAAGATAGTGTAATTTTTACACTGATGCTGCCCTCCAGGTAGCATGCTAATCTGATGCCCACTGGTCCCCTGGGAAGACAGCTTTGGCTAGGGCAAATCGCAGATCTCGGGTTTTTCTGAACGGACAAGGAAGATGACTCATGAGTCCATTTTATGCCCGTATAGGTCAGTCCTGTTAGCAGTAGGAAGTTTTATTTCTGATCATTGTTTTTAAGATGTAACTCATATGCTGTACAATTTGCCCATTTAAAGTGTGCAATTCAGTGGTTTTTAGTATATTCAGGGTTGTGCAGTCATCACCACCATCTAATTTTAGCACATTTTCATCATCTCCAAAAGAGACCCTGAACTCACTGGTGGTAACTCCACATTTCTCCTGAAACCCCTCTTTCAGGCCTAAGCAACCACTAATTTACTTCTGTGTTTCTCTCCTGATTTATATACAGTATTTCATTTGTCCCTGAAGTTCTGACTGCTTCCCCAACGATTTCCCCAGACCTGGAGTCAACTCTGGGGACCAGGCAGCCAAGGAGGTGCTTGCTCTGTGCACAGAGCAGCCTGCAGGCGGGTGCTCACCCTCCGTGGGGCAGCTCCCGCCGCAGCAGAGTGGATTGCGGCCCGTGAGCCCTCGGGAGCCAGTGGCTGTCGGCCGCTCTCTCCTCTTTCTCTCACCCTATAAGTCCTTTCCCGTCCGTCCGTAACGTAGAGAGCAACACCACACTTTACCTTTAATGGCTCTTGTCAGAATTCAGCAAGATAACAGGAAGAAAACACCTGCTGTTCAATAAATATTAAGGTGAAGGGTGTTTTGGGTCTGTTTTTCTGAGATTATGAGAATAGGGTAAATACTGATTCACAGATTTCCAGGTAAAAATGGAGGATTGAACATCTTTCGCTTGCTGTCAAAACCCACTAATAAAGAGTATTTTCAAAAGCATAAATCCAGTGGTGCCTGGGTGGCTCAGTCCATTAAGCTTCCGACTCTTGGTTTCAGCTCAAGTCATGATCTCACAGTTTGTGGGATGGAGCCCCGCATGGGGTCTGTGCTGACAGTGAAGAGCCTGCTTGGGATTCCTTCTCTTTGACTCTCTCTCTGCCCCACCCCTGCTCATGCTCTCTCTTTCCCTCTCAGAATAAATAAATAAACAAACTTTTTTTTCAAAAGCATAAATCCTGGGGTGCCTGGGTGGTTCAGTCGGTCAAGCGTCAGACTTCTGCTCAGGTCATGATCTTGCGGTGTGTGAGTTCGAGCCCCGCATCGGGCTCTGTGCTGACAGCTCGGAGCCTGGAGCCTGCTTCAGATTCTGTGTCTCCCTCTCCCCCTACCCCTCCCCCGCTTGCACTCAGTCTCTCAAAAATAAACGTTAAATTTTTTTTAATAAAAAAAGCAATTTTAAAAAGCATAAATCCAGAAGAAGTGGGGGAATGGGAGAGGAGTAACTGCAAAAACTAAACCTCTGAGTTTAGAGGCTGGGACAAATGGTAAGAGTTAAATAATGCAGCAGGCCTGTGAAATCAGGATCCCAAGTGAGCCGAAGGAAAAGCTGAGAATCACCCAGTGGAACTGTGACCCCCCCCAAAGGCTCAGGAAATGGCAGTACCAGGACCTCTGGATATCGAGGTGCAAGGCCAACATGAAGAGCATTGGTGGGAAGCCTGCTCGAGAGGCGGTCGGATCCTCTCTTTGCCACACGGCCAGAGCTGCCCTCTGCACACCCTGGCAGAAGGCCGGCAGGCGATTCTCAGTGCGAAGTTAAAACAGAGACTCTGTGGACTTGGGAGACCCAGGGACGGCTAAAGTTAGACTCAGTACTAAAGATGGGTGTTAAGGGAGTTTGGGCACACTGGATGCTGAACCCTCCAGCCTGCCCACCACCCAACACTGTCTGCCCCCGGAATGCTGGCTGCCAGGCCCTTGTCCAAAGAGAGGAACACTGTCTCTGAGGAGCAGGACCCTCCCAGATGGGAAGACCAAAGAGACTGGCCTTGGAGATTCCTCCAAAGACCCGGATTGGTCCCTGGGGAAGCCCAGGGTCCCCAAACCCCACCATGCATTCAGACTTCCAACCGGAGATTTAATTTCTTAAATATGAGCAGACAACCAAAGATTCCTAGATGCATAGGGAGTGCCTATAATATGAAAGACGGTGGCAAGGGGTGCCTGGGGGGCTCAGTCGGTTAAGTGTGCGACTCTCGAACTCAGCTCCAATCTTGATCTCAGGGTCCTAAGTTCAAGCCCCAAGTTAGGCTCCACACCCAGCGTGGAGCCTACTTAAAGACAAAAGAGGGGCGCCTGGGTGGCTCAGTCAGTTAGGCATCCGACTTCGGCTCAGGTCATGATCTCACTGTTGGTGGGTTCAAGCCCCGCCTCGGGCTCTGTGCTGACAGCTTGGAGCCTGGAACCTGCCTCAGATTCTGTGTCTCTCTCTCGCTCTGCTCCTACCCCACTCATGCTCTGTTTCTGTCTCAAAAATAAATAAACATTAAAAAAATACAAAATATAGGGGCCAAACAAACCAACAGGAAAAAATATAACTAAGTGGAAATAAAAACTGCAGGAAGAGAAAAAGCTCATTTGTAGCCTCAGAGACAGTAGATGCTGTCTTATTTCATGGACACAATGACACAGGCCATTTAGGAAATAAACAAGACTCAAAAACAGCAGAAATGAAAATGTCAATAGAATGGAGGAAGAAAAGTTGAAATTTTCTAGAAGGTGGGCCAAAAAGGTGGAGATACAGCAAATAGAAGAAGAAAGATCCAAAGCATAGAGTGCCAGGTTACAAGGTGTCATATCCAATAATGGTTCTAGGAAGAGAACAGAGACTATAGAAGGAAGGAAATCATCATTAATGGCATAACTAATTTAAGAAAATTTCCCAGAACCAGAGGGCATGAGTTTCTAAATTGAACGGACCACTGGAGGGGCGCCTGGGTGGCTCAATCGATTAAGGGTCTGACTTCAGCTCAAGTCTTGATCTCACCATTCACAGGTTCAAGCCCCGTGTCAGGCTCTGTGTTGACAGCTCAGAACCTGGATCCGGCTTCCGATTTTGTGTTTCCCCATCTCTGCCCTTCCCCCACTCATGTTCTGTCTCTCTCTCTCAAAA